TCAGGTCGATCTTAGGGTAACTAGTAACCGACGCTGGAAAGCCTTTTAGTCTATCTCAATTCATTTAGAAGTTGCAGCACTTTGAAATCAGTTTTGATGGAAAAAAACAATGCAAAATAGTGATTTTTGGCAATTTTGAGACGTCCCCCGTTGCCATGGTGACAGGAAATTTACCATTGAGCAAACTGTTACAGAGGCTATGGTGTAGTCAACATTTGTGCCAATTTTCATTAGTATTGAAGCATTTTTCATAGTTTCATAGCAGTTTGAACTTGTTACAGGAGGCTTTTTCAATGAAAACGGCCATTTTTCGCAATATGCTCATGGGGTAAATGGTTAATTCTCGCATTCCTTTTATCCTTTCATTTATTTATATGCTATTAAAATTCTGGTATAAAACAAATTAAGGTAAGACTTATTCTTAACTAAATATGGGGCCGATTTGGTGAAGGGCCGAAACGTCCGGGACCGAAACGTCTTGGGTAATTTGGAGCCGATACGTCTTGGGGCCGAAATGACTCGAAATCGTGTGGTTTCTTCGAACTACTCTTCGAGGAAATTAATCTATGATGAAGAGGTGTAAAAGTGATTTTGACGATTTAACTTTATGAAGAAGTTTGTCCACTTAACAGTTACTTAAATTTAAAGTATTTAGTACATAGATACAAAATGTTTAAACTTAAATTACTATGAAAGTGATTTCTTTTCATTACTAAAGTCGCAAATGTATCAATTATCGTATCGATTTATTCAGGTGGAAATGGTATAAGTATCGATTTATTCAGTATGAAATTGTATAAGTACAATGTATCTTTATTTGTCTGTGATTTGAATAAAGAAGTGGATAAAAATGATAAAACATTAGGTTGAGTGTAACCAGGGTCTTTCAAATTCTATTTGAAAGACCCTGGTGTAACGTTAACTGATTACATTTTTTAAAAAAAATGAATAAATTATTTTGTATTATAAATTATTTAATATTGTGGGAGTATAATATATATTTGTACATGTAGCATAGGTTAAGTTATAAGTACATGTAACATTTTCTCTAAAAATGGTTTTTAACATATTTTTAAGCTCGATAGCGAAACAAGTTTTAATCACTTTTGAGTTTGCTTCGTGGAACCAACCAGTAGGGAACGAACCCATGATTCACGGGTTGAAAGGCAGACACCTTAACATGTAAGTCACCGCCGCCCCCCCCCCCCCGCCTTAAATTTATGACTGGCCTTTATCATTATATCCATTATTATTATTTTTTGTAATTTGTTAATGAAATCCTTTAAAATGAAATGGACTGTTCCAAATTAGAGCCAGTGCATGTACATTCCTTAAAATCCAGCAGGTAATGCGTAAATTTAACAAAGTTGAGAAATTGAGTACCGCTCTTGAGAATTGAGTACCCTCAAGCCGGTGCTAGGAGGCGTGAGGGATGTTTGCACATTTCCATTATCCCTCACGTACAGACTCAATCAAACCGAGTCTGCAATTCTCTTGTAATTTTGTTGTGATTAAAGCTGCCGAGGGATCACTTTGTTTCCAGAATTTTTTATACTTCACAACAGCAGGTGTCAAGTGCTGTGTGGCAGCTGTAAAAAAGTTGCCCCGTACTTCACTTTCAGTGTTGTATAAGTTTTCTGGTCCTTCGGGATCATTGATGCCAGCACTGTTAAGTGTTGAGAATTGAGTACCGCTCTTGAGAATTGAGTACCGCTCAAGCCGGTGCTAGGAGGCGTGAGGGATGTTGCACATTTCCATTATCCCTCATGTACAGACTCAATCAAACCGAGTCTGCAATTCTCTTGTAATTTTGTTGTGATTAATGCTTCCGAGGGATCACTTTGTTTCCAGAATTTTTTTTCCATACAAAAATTATATAATATTAATCCATATTCTGTAGTGAACCTTCAAAATTGTCGAATTTTAAGTCGGAGAAACATATTTTAAAATTTATGTATGAAATCTAATTCAAAACTCAAACTAACAAGTAAAATTCACTCTCATATCCCATGGATCAAATGTGCATCGTGTACAATTTAGCATAACAGGCTGATTATTCTTACCCGATCTTAACTCCACGACGGTAGCTCAGATCACAGATAAAAAGACAAAATGCCTCATAGTAGAAACCTACCCAAATATTCTGGAGTATTAGATAGTAAAGAGACAACTGTGTCGCGTTTGTATGGATACAAAATATAGATTGTCTCCCGTGGACCGCTATCTCTCTTTATTAAGTCAAACCCTGCTTACTAAACACTAAAAAGATGATGTACTGTCATTGCACATTTTAGGTGACGGCATTTATGCCCTTTTCCTGACCCCTACATTATGTTCCCAAGAAAAGATCACGTTGAATTAAATAAACTTGCAATAGCTAGATTATATAGTAATCGGAAGTAACAGAGATGCTTGAGTTCGCAATAAATGACACAGCGTGATTTGTACTGCATATCTATGGCATTTTACTTTGCTGTATGACATTTCTAGCGATTTTGCCATAGCGACCAACATTGTTTCAAAAACTGAAAGGAAAGCCTAAAATCCGATCAAGTTCCATGTAGTACTTAAAAAAAAATAATTGTGATTGTCAAGAAATAATCTTATTTCGTAGCATTACCTGCCGTATAATTTTAATTAAAGTTATCGATTTTCACCAATGCTCGATCGTGTCATGTATTCACGTGCACATATTTTATTTCAAGAGCGCGTGAGGTAGGTATATATCTTTGATATACATGTCATGATACTAGTAGAAAGATTCCCTTTAATAGGTAAGTAAGCAAAGTAGCCTTGTGGTTAAGGTGTTTGTCTCTCAACTCAGGGGTCTTGGATTCGATCATGCTCATGTTTTGTCATGAAGTGGCACCAGTACTGGTTAGTTCCACAGCACTGGAAAACTGATTTCAATAAGCTACACAAACCAAAAGAAAATGGGCAGAACGTTTGGGTCGAATTTGTCTCAGATATATTACCTTGACCGGCAAGGTATTATGGGATTGTATTTTTTATGTCGTTTAGTTTTTTTTTAATTAAATGTGAGATATTGGAGAAATGCGGTACTTAATTGGCAGAATATACATGTAGTATTTACTGAAATATAAACAACAATTAGACACAACACATACTCACCGAGATGAATACACCAATATTATCGTGAAATTTTCATATTCTGTGCATTGCAATGCGACAATAAGTGCAGTTGAAATACGATGCAATTAAATTTCGCAACATAAATTCGTAATAAAGTGAACTGTAAACAACATGATTTCTCGGCTCATTAGACTTAATTAGCAACATAAAGGTATAAATAAAAAAAATAGTGGACCAGTATGACTGTCTTAATAACGATGAATAACATGTCGCCATAATGTGTAAATTCAATTTTAAAAAGCAGTAATCGGTATGCCACAACCACCACTTGGTGAAATAATTCAGTCTAAAAGGCGATGAACTGTATGTCAAAATCACGACTAGGTGAAAATTCAACCTAAAAGGCGGTAAACCGTATACCACAACCAGGTGGAAAATTCAGCCTAAAAGGCGATGAATGGTATGTCAAAATCACGACTAGGTGAAAATTCAACCTAAAAGGCGATAAACCGTATACCACAACCAGGTAAAAATTCAGCCTAAAAGGTGATGAATTGTATGTCAAAATCACGACTAGGTGAAAATTCAACCTAAAAGGCGGTAAACCGTATACCACAACCAGGTGAAAATTCAGCCTAAAAGGCGATGAATGGTATGTCAAAATCACGACTAGGTGAAAATTCAACCTAAAAGGCGATAAACCGTATACCACAACCAAGTGAAAATTCAGCCTAAAAGGTGACGAATGGTATGTCAAAAATCACGACTAGGTGAAAATTCAACCTAAAGGACGGTAAACCGTATACCACAACCAGGTAAAAATTCAGTCTAAAAGGCGACGAATAGTATGTCAAAATCACGACTAGGTGAAAATTCAACCTAAAAGGCGGTAAACCGTATACCACAACCTGGTGAAAATTCAGCCTAAAAGGCGACGAATAGTATGTCAAAATCACGACTAGGTGAAAATGCAACCTAAAAGGCGGTAAACTGTTATCACAACCTGGTGAAAATTAAGCCTTAAAGACGGTAAACCGTTACCACAACCACATCTTGGTGAAATTTAGCCTAAAAGGCGATGAACGGTATGCCAAAACTAGGTGAAAATTCAGCTTAAAAGGCGATGAAAGGTACATGTATGCCACAACCACAACTATATGAAACTTTAACAGTATGCCACAACTAGGTGAAAATTCAGCTTAAAAGCGGATGCCACAACTACAGTCAGTCATAGTATTCCAATGTTACAGTCAATAGAAGATTACTAGATTCAGTCTGGGATATACGATAACGTATGTCCCAGATTCAGTCAACCACAGCTTTTTGTATTACATTATATACTGCGGCAGACAATAATTACTGCTTTCAAATTTAGTTTTACCAGTAGTTATCGTATGCTGCAACAACAAGTTAAAGTATTTTCATTTTAGATATTGGTGTTACCACCACTCATATAAGTTTATTCTGTAAAATAGCCGGTAATGGTACGATAAATTTAGTCTTGCAACTACCACGGTAATATAACACTCGCACTATGACAGCTATCCGCATCAACAGTCATGAACGAATACTCTCGTCGTTCTTTTTACAAGAACATATGTGGCAATCCTTATTTCGGGGTTGACGGTACGGTACAGAAACTAGAACGTTCAGAGTATTTTTTGCCAACTGGTACGTAGGGAAAAAGTAAGTTTCAAGAATGAGGCAATCTAACAACTGGATTGACAAATTCTGCCATGTTGATTATCAATGGCCGGTGTAAACGACATTCTGCAGTCTAGACTCAATGTATTCTTTGCGTCTACAACATCCACTTTTTATATTGTTTCGATTTTATTTATTTTTTGGTGGGTGGGAGTATGCAGGAATAATGAAATTAAACATTAGAAATAAACAAGAAAGATATATTGTAAGTTTCAATAATTTATTTTCCCGATTTTACCGGGTTTTATGATCACCATGAAATGACCAGTCTTGCTGGTTTATACACAGTTGCGACAAGAACCAAACTTCTTAGACGCCCTAGCTGTTTTATTAAAACTATAGCAAACAAATTCCATAAATTTAATACAAGCTTTCCAAAAAGGTATCAAAAGACAGCATTTGGTTAAGTTTTCGTTCTTTATTTTTTTAAAAAGATACAAATGAAGTTACAAATTTTGATTTATATTTTCAATGAGAATAAATAAGGCGCAGCAATAAACTTTGGTTCCAGCCAATGTAAGATATGAGAAAATGGCACATATTACAAAATAAGTAGCAAAATTGACTAGTACAAAAGTGGGGGAAGTTCAAAAATAATAAGTTTGCAAGAAAGCACCAAAAACAAGTTAAACAAAATAAACAGAATAATTAAATTAACAAGCACAAAAAACAAACAGATAAGATAGGAAAAGCATAGAATTTGAGAAAATAATGTTTCATGTAGATTTTCATCCTAACTGGATATAAATGAAGCCAAAGCCTGTTTGGGAAACAAATGGGAGAAAAATCTAAATAAAAAGCCAACGAAAGATAAATATCACTAAAAAGAAGTCTACGTTTTTCTGATTAAATAATTTGTAATGTATAACTAGCTAGGAAAAAAAAGTTTTATAAAGAAATGAGTACACGTGAATCGTGTTACGGCCTGATCATACTAATCAAGTGTTATATTAATTAACAGGTCAGCTAGTTCTCTACCATAATGTTTGAACACACTTAATTGCACATTCATAGTTTCTCGTTCAGTTCTATTTTAATGGAAAAAATATAAAACATTTGAAATATAAACAGCACTTAAAAAGCGAGCAAAAAATCTATAAAATATAATATCATGTTAAATATTACTTAATATACAAAAATATAGAGCAATCGTATACTATTCTATAGCACTAGAAGTTGTACAATTCAGTGCAGTCGATATTTATAATATCATTTGAATATAACATATATATTTCTAAAAAAAAACACTTCTTTTTGTATATTATAATATCTTTCTACAATTTTCAATTTGGTTTAGGCTCGGCAGTTGAAATAATATTTTTTTTCAAGTTTGATTTTCATATTATATATATAAAAATATAACAATATATATTTAAACAAACAATCGCATGACCTTTAAAGTATTTAACAACATTGGTCTCCATGGATACATTAACAATGTATTTGGAACAAAATGTACACCTCTACACCTCCCTATTTGAGCCTCATGGGGCGGCCAGCACCACACTCATCTCAAAAGGTTTGATGTTAGACTTACAAAACTGAACCGGTCAGTCTCTCCAACAAAAATAAACAACCTCTAAGACAATATATTTTAAAGGCTATCCAAAAACGTAACATTGGTGAAAACTTAACTTTTTTCACAATTCAAATTAATTACACACATTATCAAAGTGTAATAATCGTTCAAATAAATACATCAGTCCTTTTGGATTCCTTAAAAATAAGTCTGAGCTCTATATCAGCTCGTATCTGCTTCCATAGAGTGCCTTTATTCGTATAGACACTTGCCTGGATAATGTTCATATGTGCCTCTTCATGTGGAGTGACAGGTGGTCGCTTCTGGAGAAGGCGCGCTCACAGAGGTGACATTGGAATGGTCTATCACCGGTATGTTTGCGGTAGTGGCGTGTAAGCTCATCAGATCGTGCAAACTTCCAGCCACATCCCTTCCACGTGCAGCAATAAGGTTTCTCGCCAGTGTGCGTTCGGAGGTGAGCCTTCAAATGAGAACTTTTTGTGTAGGTTTTGGTACAACCCGGGTGAGAACAAGTGTGGGTTGTCTGGCGTTTGCGGCCCCAGGTGCGTCGTCCACGTTTCTTTGGTTGGACCAAAGCTGGGTCCATGATGCTCTGTGGCAAGAGAAGGTCAACAAACTGTTGTGGCGATGATGGCGGTGTCATCATGTGGGGAGGTAACTGAGTCATGTGACCATGCTGACCAAGTTTTGGCATCAGATGCTGAGACATGAGGTACTGCTGGAACTGTGGAGTCATGTGGTGCGGGTACGGTGGGAGCGTTGAATGCTGATGTGGTTGATGAGGTGCAGGTCTCATTTGCTGTAGTTGAGGCATTGCTGGCAAGCATTTATGGGTGTTGTCTGAGTAGAGATCCGGCGACGAAGGTGGTGATAATTGGCTGGGAATGTTCATGCTATAATGCATCTGTTGTTGCGTATGCTGAGGATTGCACTCTTGACGCATGGGTGTTGCGGTAAAGTTCGCACACGTATTCGAATTTGATGTACATTCCTGTTTTGGTATCACAAGGTTACCATCAACTTTGTTGCTAGATTCAACTTCTGGAAATGTATTTGAAACGGAATTAGCACAGCTTTTGAAATTTTCTAGTTTAATGTCTGGTATGTCTAAGAAACTAGAAGTAAAGTCCGGCAATGAGTTGTCAGCAGAGGGTTCCTGCTTTATTTTCAAACAATTGTTATCATCGGCGTACAAGGACAAGTTATTGTTGTCCATTGTATTTGACAAGATAAAGTCCAAATCCAACAAATCATCATACAGTTCCTGATTAACACAAAGGCTGTTAACTGGAGCCGGTGACCCCATGCTGCATCCACTTGGGCTATTGCACGAGTAATTTGATCCTGGTGATGATGGTGAACGCACTGGTGAAACCGGGCTTGTAGGGAATCCCGTATTTAGTTGGTCCAAGTTCTGCATTATTCCGCTCTCAAACTTCATCGTTTCTTGTTCAAACTGCATAGTTTCCCCATACAGGTATTTCTCTACTTCTTGCCATCCCTGCAGATACAGAATATACATTTTGATTAGATACGAGTTGCTTCGCTTACAGCGTTTAGCTAATAACTGATATACTGAAACAATTTCTTGCGCATACAGACTCGCGCAAGTTGCGTGAATGCGTAAAGAATTTTTTTTTATTTTTCTCTCTCTTTCTTTCTCTTAACTCAAAACTCTTATGTTTACATTTCAATTACTTCGGACACCGTGATCCCTATGTTTGACTAGATGCTTAGGTCTCCATCACGATCAAACAAACTAAAGATAAGAAAACTAAATCACAATTAATTATCTAGGTCTAAAGCGGGGGACGCATCATTTATCATACACTGGTTGCAGTTTGTCAATTTTTCGACATTTATGTTTTAACTGATTAACGCAAATAATTTTGTGAGTTATAACTGACCGTATGTCAATTGTCAGAACTGTCTAGCGGTAATAAATTTAAATTAGAGTGTCCGATACTTTTGTAATACAGCTGTGGCAACTTATTTTAAATAAAAGTGTCCCAGATAATTTTCTGAGTTTAAGAACAAGTTGTTTTAACTTTTCAAAGTATAAGAGATGTAAACATACATAATTGAATTACAATTTTAACTATGGTCAGCGTTTTCTCAATAGCTTACTATACTAGCACAGTGTAGTTTAATAAACAAATTCAATCCAATGTTGTAATTAAAATAAAAGCGTGCACAAAGTTTATGATGTTGATATTTAATCGTAGCGTTTATTAATGAAAACAGACAAATTACCATTGTAAAACATAAAATTAACTATTAAATGTTTTAGTCATTTATTAAAATAAGTAATTTGTACTTACATCATGCATTTCGCTGCAGTTTCCATTACTTCCAATCATAATTGGCAACTAATATCAAAGACTTAAATAAACACTAAGATCAACTGTCACTCAATTTGCATAAGTTCATATAATCAGAGAAAATCAAACATGTGTCCGATCTCAATGCAATTCTAAAACATATTGAAGTCTTGTATGTAATGTATATCTAAATATCAGAAACGCAATGTATTAGTCTGAATGTATATGTCACATTTCGTCTCTCGTCCAATCAGAAGGCGCGTTATTAATAGCGGAGTATATATATACAGATTTTCACTACAGGTAATTCAGTGTCTACCAAACCGCCAAAGTGAGTGGGAAAAGATTTGTTTCACGAAGTATTACTCATTTGTTTCGCATGTGAGATGACTTAGGTTTTTTCTCATGTAGCAATGTAAACAAATACAAGTAAACATAGCAAATAAACTTAACTAATTTGAAACAAAATCGTCCTATATTGTAAACATTTCACAATTTAATATCACATATTTCTTTTACTTGACTAATTTATATAGGAGAAATATGTCATAATTTTCAGTATGATTTTGTAGCGTGATTATTTAACTTAACTTTTTGTCAATATATGTTACTAATACTTATAAATAACATTAGTTTTAAAATTCGTGATGTTAAGTTAACATTTCGAAAGGTGATGAGAAATGATTTAAACTGGCTTAAATTTATTTCTGACAAATAGATTTATATTTGTTAGACCCTGTTTATAAACTCTCTCAACAAACTAGTCAGAAACTACAAATTGAGCTTATTGTTGTACAAATTTTATATGAGTTTACCTATTATGAGTATAATTTAGTAAACGAAAATAAATCTGAATTCGTTGAAGAAATGACCAGACATGTACATATATACATGTATGTATGTATGTATGCATGTAAATGGTGCGCTAATGTAATAATCACGAACCTATGCTTCCAGTTAAGTTATCTAGCAAAATCGACCTGACACAATATAAAATACATTTGATCTCATTAAAAGATACTGCGTGCGACCGTGCGACTTCTTTAATTGACAAGGCAATTAAGATAATTCTGCATAGGATTTCCATGCATAGATTAGAAGCAATCTATAAATACATATGAATGGTTTAAAATGTCTGCAGAAATTATTTATGAAGTCCCGATGCGTGATACAAAGTTTAGCATTAAAGATTGATCATAAATTAGTTAATTAATTTAATACAAACATACATACTTTATAATTAAAAAAAAATATATATATATACATGTACAAGTAAACATATAAGCAGAATATTTATATGTCATCTAAATATACATGTCCTTTCTATAACACTTGATAACATAACGGCCTGTAATTGACAAAAAGCAAACAAAAAGCATGATTTTACTTCAAATCATATCTGTCTACATAATATATTATAATCATATTTTGCCCTACATCATATGTCTGTAAAATGTTTTTACATTTATTAATCTTCATGGCAGTGATGAACCCACTGAGCAGGCCCATGTGCTAGCTCTCTAATTTGGAAACAAAAAAAGTGCATTTGAAAACTAAAAGACCGTCTGTGACTGGTTTAATGCTGATAAAAAAGAAGAGATCTCTCTAAGATTAAAATTTGAAAAACATGTACAGTATAGCAGGAAAAAAAACTTTTAGAAACTATTTATAGCATTTTTCTTTCTTTCTTCATAAACTTTGGAAAACAATTTGGTTTTGTTCTATTTCATATCAATATATCTGAAACAAAATGATACATACGGGGACTGGCGGAAAATTAAGTGCGATAGCATATACTATTTATTTTCTCTAAATGTAATAACTGTACTTCTAATCGATTAAACGTCCCTTAATTTGTATAATAGACTTGTCATGCTATGAATTTGGAACTTTCCACTTTTAATTAAGGGATCTCTGCATTAAAATGCTATATATGGTACAGCTTCACGTCAGGCGTGATTGACTGGCCCCATTCTGCTGATCTTACATCTTTATCGCCCCGAATTTCTGAAATAATTATACTTGTGCATGATCCATTTTGGATCTTTCAATTATCAATTTTGGTTTATACTAGTATATAAAGATGGGACTTAAATGTTCTATGTTGGTCAGCCTACAGTATAAAACCTGTCAGACTGGTCAGGGATATGCAGGCTGGTCTGGATCTACACTGGAGGAAAAGATTTATCTCATCCGGTTCCTACAGGTTACAGATTAATTAGTTTATTATTTAAACCTATCACTCATAATCTATTCTAGGAGTACAAAATATAATTTTGGATTTGAAAGTACGGAAGTTTCAATTTTTTTTACACGTGAACCCGGAAATATTTAGCATACCTCTTGCATATCGTATGATTATACATGTATTACAACAATAGGTTTGTTGTTGGAAAAATTCATAGTGAAATAATCAAGAATTTTCCTAGTCTTAAACTAAAAAGTAATTTATTAATCTTAGTATCTTCAATTTATGTTTAATAAATACAGAAGCGAAATTCCTCAAATGTACATACATGCATTCGATACTCTACATTCCAGATCGATTAATTATTAGTGCATTTGAATTATAGTGAATTCTACAAGTTATTTTCAGTAAAAAAATGCGAAGAAAATCATTTTATAAGAAAATAAAGAGATAGTCTTAATATTTATAAACAGATTTATGAAATATTGTATTAAACTACCAATAAAGTGTTTTCAATTTCTTGCCTCACGTGACAGTTTTTGTTTCATACAGGAAGAGTCTGTACTAAAGTCGATATATTTTTTATTGGCTTCCCTATATTTCAGGAAGAAGATGGGTGATTGAATGTAAAAAAAACAACAACAACAAAAAAAAACAAACGTCACTCTAACAATATGGGTAGATTTTTTTCTCTGTACGCTAAATGTTAATCTTAATCAATCGTACATGTATACGACTTTTGATGAATAAGTCAAATACAGGTTTGCGTAACCCTTAAACCGCTATCTTGCTCACACAAAACAAATTAATCATCATTTTTAAGTAAAATTTAAAACAAATCCCGACTGAATAGCGAACAGTGCAGCCGGTTGATTAGATCGTGTGCTCTGTTCGTCAGAAGGATGAGCGACAAGGCCAAAAGCGACACAAACGCTTTACTTTATCAACAATCGCTCGTTATATCATACAAAAGCATAATTAATATCGTGCTGAGAAGTAACTAAATAGAGGTCAAAAAGCATAAAAACTTAAAAATTTAATTTCTTACATAGAATAGTTAGGTGACTCAAGCAGAAATATGCGTAAAAGATAATTAAGAAATATACTCATAAATAAATTGAAAAGCATATTTCCGGTGCTATTCATAGCCCGATTTAGAGAGCAAATGATCTGAAATTGTTCACACAAGTTATTGGTCTAAACCTACATCAAATTCTTGACAAATTATATGCAGACCCGTCATGTTCATAAACCTCAGTGGAGTCCCTTTAATGTGACCACTCCTTGTAGGTCAGTTGAGCCATCTAGCTTGTGTACAGTTTTAATATAACACAATGTGTGATCAGCGTCCGAAAAAAATTAACCAATGATATTTCTACAGAAAATTTAAGTTATTATTCAGGAACGAGATTTGATCGCGACATTTTCACATAGTGGTAGCCCATTTTCGTGACTTTAGATGACATACCGTGACAGAAAAAAATATTTAAAATTCTACTTCATATTTTAATCCATATAATTTCCTGTTTCAATAAATAAGAATCTTAAAGGAGAAAAAAAACGCTCCCCAGTTATCATTCAAAAATTATATTTTAATTGCGTTTCCCGTGGGATTTGGGTCAATGTGTCCCCGAATGGTGGTTCGACACTTGATTAATAATTTGTTAAAACCTAATTATTTTAATTTCCTGTTATAATATCGGACCATTCTGTACATGCGCATATACAGATCAAGATAATTAGCTCAATCCTAGTTCTGTAAAACTTCCTTATGACTTTTAAGAAGTTAAAATATCGCAACTGTCTATTTTTACAACTACTAGTATATTATCTTATTTTCAAAAGTACTAAACAATTCTTTATTTATTCTTTTTAATCCACTTTTTTTCAAATCTATTTTTTCCCCTTAAAAATGATTTTGTTTCAAAACATAGCAAATAAAAATATGATTAAATGTAGTATGCAAACCGCTTTCTAGCTTTTATTACATACATATATATAGGAATTATATGATATATTAAATCAGATATAACATTACCGTTACTATAAGGTCAGAAAAACGTTACATAATGCGCATTATATATAATAAAACAGATTTATCTCAAGGGTTTAAATAAGATCTATCTATCAGTTATCGATGGCGAGAAAGTAACAATTGCTCCGTAAAATATATATCTTATTTTCGATTTGATTCATGCTAAAATTTATCTGCCTATCAGACATATCAAATACATTTTATATTTTGTTTCACTGATTGTGCGCAACCAGGCGCAATGTGGTAAATATTGATAAAGCTGGAAGAATTTACCGCCTGACCTCCAGATATAATTACGACGAGACGGTAACTATATACATACCGTCACGGACCTATATACCTATTACCTATGCCATAACTCTCTGCTCTGTAGTTTTTAACTGTTTTATATGTCAAATACTGGTTGAAACTTCCCACAGCAAGTAGATGGTATACAGCTTCTTTTCTTCTTTTCTGTTTGTCTTTGCAACCTTTAAGTTAATACAGCATCCTTTCCAGTCAGTATGTTTGTCCTCAGCCAACCAGCTTACATTTTTCAAGCATTCCAATTTGCTTATATGTTTATACTTTACCATTATAATCATTTTACTAAATAAGCCTTTTAAGCAGCTATGTTTGAAATTTAATTATATTTTTACCTTTCTGAAATCAGCCTATTTTTAAGTCTGCAGATTCATCTTACGGAACGTAGCTTTCTTTTCATCTTGAATCAGTCATCTTACTTTTTCTGAAATCAGCCATATAACCTTTAGCCAGTTATCTTGCTGAATGTAGTCTCCTTATCAGTCTGTATGATTGACCTTTATGGCCTTTAGCCAATCATCTTAATATATAAAGCCTCCTTTTCAGCCTATATGATTGAATTTTGACCAGTGACCTTACTTAATACACTGCCTCCTTTTTAGTCTATTGCTTGACTTTCCCTAAATCTTTCTATGTAAAGTATTTGCTTGAACTGAACATA